TTTATATTCTTAACCGAATGTGGCATGGTTTCATATTTCTCATTAGTTCTTGAATTATGATCACTGAATTACAAAATTTTTTTTAAAAGCTATGTACCCAACTTGGAATTACAGGCAAACTTAAAAGTTCAACTTATTCACTGCATCATGGAAACCCTTGGTATTGACATTACTTATGATCACTGAGCCCAGAGAGACCCCTAGAACACCCCTGTGGCAGCTGCAGAGGCTGGCACTATAGAGGCTGGCACTGCTTTTACTACTGTATCAAACTGATGTGCCCATGGTGCACTAATTTCACTTTTGTGGTGCTCAGTCTAACATATACGAAATCACTGATGAATAGGTAGTAAGGCACAGAAGTATAAACTTCGTTAAGATCAAGCTGGGATGACGTGCAGGTCATTCCCTTTATCAGACTTCTTCCTTAGAAAACACAGATCACTCTGACAAACTCTTCTGCACAAAGCCATGGCTGACTGTTACCCAGCATCCTATTTCCTTTATATTTTTGACAAACTGATTTTATGGTGATATGTTCCAAGTATTTTAGAAAACTGAGTAAAATCCAGGACCAACTCCTTTTAAACAAACATAAAGTAATACACAGGAACTTTTTCAATGCCCAGAAATTTCCAGTATTCTCCATAAGTCTATAATATTGAAATGCCCTGCAATAACTTCCACACGTTTTTAAAAATGTTATAGCAACATTTCAAATTCATTTTCGGCATAACCACCAAAAACACAGAAATGGAGATCCATGTTTTCTCATTATGCTCTGCCAAGAATACAATTCTTCTTGCCCTATGCCCACCACTGCACACCTTAATACTATAAACTACTCAGAGAACAGTCCCTAAAATGAGGCTTTAACTAGACTATTCACATTCCTGTAAGGGATTCGGGAGCAAGTCTAAATTCGCCAGGTCATCCATCATCATTGCATTTTACCCCTTCTTGGCTTTGCAAAATCACCCATGCCCTGCACATGCCTCCCTCCCAAATCCCATTCTAGGCCTTCTAGAGCTTATCAACAAAATCCTTTCTGCCCTTATTCTTCCCTCTGGACGTTCCCTTCACCTTCTTGTGTAAACTGAAACCTAGGTAGTATCTGACTACTCTTTTTCCCTTGAAGTCTTCTTAAATGGGAATGGCTTTATCTCCCACATTCCATAAATCCTGGCAGGGGCATAGGTATCCTCTTTGTTCTCACTGCTACTTTCAGATCATTCTTCCTTTTCCCCTTTAAAAAATAAAACTTTGTCTACTTGAAGCATATGCAATTAGACATCACCAGCCACATAGAGGTGTGGCATTTACCTGCAAAACTTCTGGTTCCATGTCTCTTCCCTGCTACTATTCCTTGGCATCTTCACCATTGGTAGAGGCACTTCATCCTGACTCACCTATCTGACCTCCCAGCCCTAGTGATGTTCTTCACCCCTCTTCAATCAACTACATCATCCATGGTAACTTCTAACCCTCATTACAACCAATAATAACTCTGTCTTCAAGTATTCATTTCTACTTACTCCCTTAGCTATCTCACTCCAGTAATTCTTCAATCCCACTAGAACCTCCCCTCTACTCTCCATATTACTGACTCCCTGATTATGTCTCCTTCTCAGTGTAGGTTACATGGTCAATCACTATAAACTCTCTTATATAATTCTCAATCCCCATGACTCCCTCGCTCTCTTTCTATCAGAATGGTCAGGAAAATACCCAACCTGCTACCTCTCTTACCTACACTGCACACCTACATCAGAACTAGAGAAAATCACACAACCATGCTGGCTGGCCTCTCTCCAAAGGCATAACCACTAACCTCAAATAAGCTGTCAGCACCAGTAGGTGACCCTACTACATTTCCCTAGTTAATTCATTTGTCCTTTCCTTTAAAGATATCTGTTTACATTTTCCTCTTTCTCTTTGATTTTCCACACTCTTTCTTCCATCTCAGTGTCAGATGATGACCTTGTTTTATACTCCCCTGAGAAACAGAAACAATTTTGTTCTCCTTATTCCTCAAAGTCTTTGCTCCTGCAATCGCCCGTCTTACATTACTGGCTTTTCCTTCTTACTAGATCGTTGCGATCATCATCCAAACATGCTGTAGTATCTCCTGTATTTTCTTAAGCTCTTCTTGACCCTACATTCCCCTAAAACAATTACCCCTATTTTCATTATCATTTTATTACGAGACTCCTCAAGTCTTCCTACGTCTATAACTTGTACTATCATTCTACTATTTCAGGTTAGAAACCCTAGAATCATATTTGTGTAATTTTCATCCTTCCCTTTCCTGCTAGCAGACACCGTAGGTTCTTCCATCAAAATGATGCATATATCCATTTCTTCTTTGCTGTTTTCCTGCTGCCACTCTAGTCCAGTTTCTTGTGGTACCCCATCTAAAGAGCTGAAAAGCTCTCCAATGAGCCTCCTGACTGCCATTATTTCCCTCTGCTAATTCATTTTGCATTCCACCACAACCAAAGTCTGCCTGATGTTGACTTCACCATCTTCTTTCTGATTCTGTCTGTTCATAAACCCACAATGATCTCTGATTGCTCATATTACCTGGCTTAAGCTTGTTGTACAATGTTTAAGACATTTCATAATCTGGTCCTATCCTGCCTCGAACCTTTATTTCCTATTGTCCACCAACATAAAACTCTGCTCTTTCAGACCAGTTTCCCTAGTGTGTTCCATGTAAGTCATGCAGATTCCCACTTCCACATTTTCTTCTTTCGTCCATGTTGACCTCACTCCTGAAATCCATCATCATCGCTATTCTAAATTGTTTGACTCTACCCTCCATGATACCTTATCATACAATTCAAAATCATACTTTCTTGGCACTGAGGTCCTATAGCATTCCAAGTCTCTGTCACTATTAATGACGTGGATATTTATTAAGTATGATTTTATCACTAATTCTTTCATATACAATATATACCTGAATATAAGTACACTTTTTCCTTCAAAATTCCTTCTCAGAAAAGGGAAATCCCCTAATCCTGATTTCTCACAAGATCTCACATACTGCTTGGTGCTTTATTTTGAATAACAAAGCACTGTTTGTAGAAGATACATTAACCTTAAATGACCTCAACTAATTCCACATTTGGATTACATAGAAGCCATCTGAAATAATAAGTTGGAAAATAACAGGTAAAGAAATTCAATCAGATACAGTAATTATTCCTGTGGGAATGGTCTCAAAATTGGAAATGCTGGATCTCACAAACACCCTTTTTAGAATCACTTTAAAAATCAATCAAGTTAATCTCCACATTGCAAAGATCATAAATACACGCCTAACTAATTACAAATGCAACTGTCCTAATTTTATGTGAAGAGATACTGGGTTTTGGGACAAAACTTCCTGTGATAGCATCATCCTTAGATTCAAAATCTGCTGCATCTCAAACAACTTAGGTGGCAGTGAAGTGGGCATGTTCAGGAGCAGGGCATTAAATGACCTGCAAGGGGGCCTGAGTAGAGATAATGATAGCAATGCTGAGGCATTCACCATTCAGGACAGTTTCCTAAAAATGTAAGAATGGCAAAAAGTAGTAATTCTAAATTGCTGTATGACTTTACATGAGTTTAAATGTGTATGCACAGTTAAATTATTAACTATGTAAACAGACATGTGATCACATCATCTATATCCCTAAATGTTTACATACTGAAGTTGGCAAAATACTCTTTTATGGCAGGCAATGGGTGTGGGGAGCAAAGGGCAACTGAACAACAGAAATGAGTTAGGTAACCAATGGTATTGTTTAAGTCATGATGTGACAGGAAAAATACTTGGTGTGGTTAGTACTAGCACTGATACTCATCAAATGCGTGGAAGCTCAGTTTCCCAATGTTCAAGTTCAAGGACTGGACTAAATGTTCTCTAGGATCCTCTGCAATTCGCAAATGTTATTTCTATTGTTTTCTACTCTATTCTTTTCTAATGACTCAGGAGCACTGGTAAATACGAAGAGAAATGTTATTTTGTAGGCTACTGCAAATTTCTTCTTCCTTACCATTTAATATAACTTGGAAACTAAGTACATTTCCAAAACTTCAGTCCTGCTTTACTGACCTTATAAGCTTGATTTTTGGACTTTAAGAATCCTTGGTATTAGATTACCAACCATTCCATCTTACAATGACATCATTTTAGAGATAAGAGGTATATTTAAGAATGTCTCTTTCGGCATCTTTTTCCCTCAAGAAGAAACCAGGGGCTACGAGAGTTTAATGCTGCTCAGCGGCAGAACTGAGACCCAAACCTAGGCTTTACTCCTTCTGAATTCTGGCTATGAGCCATGACACCAAGCTCTGGGTACTCCACAGGAGATTACTGTGGTGATGAGTCACATTTTCAATTTCTTGAAGTGTTTTCTCAGTTGTATGTATGAATATACAAAAGTTATGGGCCATATCAGTATAATTTTCTTGTTACTTGAATGCAATTTCTGACTTTTCTCCAGAGGTGAAGTGCCTAATGATCCCTCCACGCCCTATGTGATTCCTGCCCTCCAGTAAAACCAACCTAAGCCTTCAATCATCACTGTATAACTCTCCCACTTCTGCTAAAGAGATAACTCTTTCATGCCAGATGAGCCGCATTTCTAATTAGGAGACTCTCCTCATGGAGCACCATCCTACGGTAAATCAAACGGAATGGACCTGGAGACAACAGATGCTGATCTCAAGCACACCGCTTGTGAAATCATCCATTATGCACAGGTGGCCTAGGAGGGCTGACACAGAGGGCCCCGCTCACACCACTACAGCACCGCCATTCCACAGCGTCTTGGAAACACACACATCACATCAGCACCTGGTAAACTTTATGTATCTTAGTTGGGATTATACAAACTACCACTCTCTGTAAACTTCTCTTTGCCTTTTCAAGCTCAAATACTATTACCACTCAGAGTTACATAATGGTAAGGCTTACGACTGGATGGTTAACAAAAATTAATGCTTACCTTCAATTCTCTTTAAAGCTGAAAGGCACATATCCTGACTTGGAAATTCAAAGGGATTGCTGCAGGTTCGAATGGTGTTACATTCACATTTCCCATTGATTATATTGCAGCCAGCAATAAGGTTTTCATTGCATGGTTTAAAACCAAGCAGTTGGTCATCAGTCCAGTTCTCATCTGTAAAACAATTAACAACCAGATAATGTGTGTTTGCAGCTTCATTCAAAGGCCTGTTTGAGGGCAAAAATGCACTGGAATGTCAAGATTAACATTCAATTTTGACAAATCAATTTGTGAAAGGCAGTCTGGCTGAAACTTTACAAATGAATGAAACCCAATCTCTTCAAAATAACTGAGAAAACTGAAATAATAGCCATACATGTAGGCATTAAATAGCTATATGCACAAAGGTTTGAAACAAAAACCCACTACTTCTCTTATGTGTTATTACAACAACAATTGAGATGCCTTTAAAAATGTTTAATATCAAATAAAGATTCCTGGGTTTTTTCATGTTCAATACAATTACAAGAGTCACATTTGTCAATCTACAAAATTATTTTTTAAAAAGTTCTGTTTCGGCCAGGCATAGTGGCTCATGCCCGTAATCCCAACATTTTCAGAGACCAAGGCGGGGGGATTACTTGAGCCCAGGAGTTCATGACCAGCCTGGGCAACACAGTGAGATCCAGTCTCTACAAAAATAAAAAAAACCTAGCTGGGCATGGTGGTGCATGCCTGTGGTCCCAGCACTCAGGAGTTTGAGGTGGGAGGATCACTTGCCCAGGAGGTTGATCACCCCACTACATTCCAGCCAGGGAAACTGAGTGAGACTCTCTTTGAAAAGCTAATTTTTTACTCTATTGGTAGGGACCGACTTTAGATTTAAAACAGCTCTTCAACTTACTACATTAAGGCAGCTAATAATCAACAACAAAAATCAGACACCACCAAAAGAGTCACAGTGGAGGGGATCCCCTCTAATGCATTTGGGGACAGACTGGTAGTATCCATCACTACCAACCCAAAGTCAGAAACGACAACAAAACTAAAGGCCTGCAGCTCAGTGACAGGCTGAGGTAACTGAAAACTGAGGCTGAGACCAAATCAGGTTCTGATCAGGGAATGGAGCAGACCACAATAAATAAAGTACATTTTAAAAACAGCTATCATGGCTCAGCTCCAAAAAAATGCAATGAATATGACAGAATCATATGCAGGTTCAATTCTTAATATTCCTCATAGTTGAAACATCTCTTATAGGAAATTAGACTATCTCTCTATGAATCCTTGGGCCATTACATGGGTTTTTCCCACACTTAGCATTATCTTTAACAGATACTTTACCCACCTGAAATGGGTACTGCCTGTTGCATAGTAAACATGTTTCTGATAAGCATATCTGAAGAGAATTTTTTAAAGTACTTGAATTTAAGAAACCTTAAACCTCTTGCTCAAACTAAGGCAGGTATAAATGCCATCTTAAGAATCTGTTTTTGGCTGGGAGTGGTGGCTCATGCCTGTAATCCCAGCATTTTGGGAAGCCGAGGCGGGCAGATCACCTGAGAACAGCCTGGCCAACATGATGAAAACCCATCTCCATTAAAAATACAAAAATTAGCTGGATGTGGTGGTGTGCGCCTGTGGTCCCTGCTACTCAGGAGGCTGAAGCAGGAGAATTGTTTGAAACAGAGAAGCGGACGTTGTAGCAAGCCAACATTGCGCCACTGCACTCCACCCTGGGCAACAAAGTGAAACTCCGTCTCAAAAAAAAAAAAAAAAGTACAAACAAAAGACTCTGATTTTTATAGGGTTAGCTTTTATTGCTGGCATCACTGCTCAGCGCATAAGTGAGACAAAAGTCTGCTCTTCCGGACTGAAATAAATAATTTTCTCATCAAGAGGTCTTTACAAGAATGTTATTTACTACATAAAGAGCTTCAGGGCGGTCCTTTGAAAAGGGAGAATAGAAAATCTCTGTGTTTTGATTTCAGGAAATCAGGCTCACTTATTTGATCAAAGCCTCAGATTTTAGTAAAATGATTATCTTTCGGATTTGAAGTTTATACCGACACACAATTTATGTTTTAAAATTTGTTCTCCTATTTAGCCTATATTTGGTCCTAGAGAGAGAGAGACAGAGAGACAGAGAGACAGACAGACAGAGAGGAGGGGAGAGAGAGAGAGAAGCAATACACACGCACATATAACATATACACACAAAAGTACATTCCTATCTTCAAGACAACAATGAAATTACTAAAGTACTCTGAAAGGAAAATCAGAAAAAGAATACCATATTGAAAAAATTCAACATAGAAAAGAAGGTGATATTTGTCTTCAGTTATAATAAAATGTGCATCCAAGTGATTTCTTATCTGTTTAACTGTTAACATGCTAGTAGTACTAGCATTTTACTATAGTTCAGTCAGATTTGCCATGGAGGAATTTTTGTAACTACATATGCAAATTCATAACTGAAAGACAGCTTAGCCCTAGGAATTAAAAGAACTTGTAAGAAATTCAAGTAACATTTGAGCTACTGAAAAACTCTGTGTATCTGTCCTCCTGTCCTCCTTTCCTTCATAGTTTTAAGAGGAAACCTTTATTACTGTTCTTATAAATACGTGCAGTTACTGAGTTGATTCTACTGTAGAATTTTTTCCACAATAAACATCCCTTCCCACCATTCTAATTGGAACTCCCTGAAGACACCACTCTCCTGAACTACCACAATGTCTTCTAACCTGGCTCCCTGCCACTATTCTCTAGTCACTCCACCTCACTCCCCACAATGTCCCCAGATCCATCTTCCTCAAAAAACAAACCTGGCCAGTAATTATCTCTTGGCAACAAGAAAATGTCCCAGCTTCTTACTGTAGAATATCAGCTTCTTCATGGCATGGCTTGTAGCTACTTCTGCAGACTCGTCTTTCACCAGTCCCTCTCACATCCTAATGCTCTAGGCACACTGAGGCTCTCACCACAAACCTGCAGGAACTGCTCCCGTGCTTTACTCGGGAGTGTCATCCACCTGGGATACCTCCTTCCCTTCTTCCTCTGATATCTCCTGTTCATCCTTCAAAACCTAGCTCAGATATTACCTCTTTCAAGAAGCCTTCTCCACCTGCCCCAGGAGAAGAAGGTGTTCCATCCTCCGTGCTCCCACAAACATCTGCACAGACCTGTTGGCCCCTACCATAGTGGTTTTATGTAAGCCATAATTCCCCAGCAGACAAAGAAGCCTCACACATGTATATACATACACATATGTGTATATATGTATTATACATATGTGTGTATATACACAGACACATACACGTCACTGGTATGGTCAATGCAGTTGTATCTTTAACAAAAAAGTGCCTAATTAAAAAATGATTAAAAAATATATATACACACACACATATATACACAAAACATCACAAGGAAAACTATGCTTCAAGATATAATAAAGAACCTGTTTAAACAACACAAATCCTGTTTTAAAAGCTTACTATTACAGCACTGTATGAGGCACACATTTCAAAGAAATGCTTGGAATCCTGGGCGCATTTCTCAGTAGGCATCACCTATCATTACTCTCCTCCTCCACCGTTCAGCTCTAAGACTTCAACCTCTTATTACCTGGCTGGCATCAACAGTCCTTCCATGCAGCCCATCTCACAGCCAATTGGTTTTCACTGCCAGATGCTTTTCTCTGCCACCCCACAGGAAGACCATTTCCCCCAAATCTGGAATCAGAACTAAAAGGCCTTTGATGAGGCCGCTGCCCCCTTGCTGTTTTCTGCTGCTTTCTCAGCAGAAGTTTCCGGGCAGCAGCAGCAGACTCACCTGAAGATGCTCAGGTGAAGGTGACCATCCCCCTCAGAAACACTGCTGCCACTATGTCCAGACAGGAAGCATCTCTGACTCTAAAGCTAACAACATCTGAGACACTTTTATTTTCTTTTTTTGAGAGTAAACTCCTTCAACTTTCTGCCTGTTCCTAATCAATACTTTGTTTTTCTTCGTGCGAAATAGTTTCCTTAGCAACCACTGCTTCATAGGATCAAGTACAACATGCTACTGAGACAAATGCTTTTCTGGTATTACAGAACATTACATTTTAAAATAATTTAACAAAATCAACAAGGACTGAAAGCAAAAATGTAATGAGCTTTGATTATAGAAATCAAATCTTAGCCCAAGAGTTCTGTTAACAGCATTTGGCAAATTATGTTTTAAAATCTCTCTTTTCCTAAGTAAATCCACATACACACCACAAGAATCAAGGTTCTCATTCTCTAACACAGTTCCTGGTTTCTCCTTGGACTGATCAGGAAAAAAAAAAAGTTAAAAACAGAGGTACTGGTCTTTAACAACATGAAGTAGGTTTTTTCCTGGTACCCTAAATGTGACAAGATGTAGTCTCCTCGCCTGAAAGGTCAAGACAACTGAGGTACCTCTGCAAATGTATTTTTAAGTTTATAATTTCTGCAAGATACCAAATTAGGATATTAGATAGGGTACTTTCTCTAAGTATAAAATAGAGAAACCTACTAATTTCATAAATATATTCAAATTCATATATGTTCAAATATGTCTAATATTGAGTACTACAGTGAAGTGCCAGGTATATTAAACTGCTAAACCAACACTTCCACTTGGATGTTCAGAAGACATCTTGAAATATATTGCTTTTTCTCATGACAAGCTCTGTACTTCAGTATGCAGATGAATTACTTTATGTGTATTTCCCATTTCATCCCACAGAACATTAATAAGATGTGTAATTGAGGGCTGAAATGTAATAAACTTAATAATTTGTATTGCTTTGATCAAGGGCATTCAAGGAAACTAATTTTTATTTTATTATTTTGTTCAATTACTTATCATTTTGCTTTACTGAAAGTATACAGTGAATACACAATAACTGACTAGCACAATTTGGTGCCACAACCTCTATTCATACTAAAGTATCAGGAGGTTTATGTACCATTTTTTTTTTTTTTTTTGCACCATTAGTACAAAATGGAAAAAGAAAAAAAAGCAAATAAAATGTTAATATTATTACGGAAATAGTTTTGACCTGATGTACCACCCTAAAAGAGCTTGGGGCTCCTCAGGAGTCTGTAGCCCACACTTTGAGAACTGCTGTTCTAAAGAGCACGTCCTGCAGGTACACCTGGGCCAAG